CCACACACAAAAAGAATAAAAATCAAGAACTGTACAATCCCCTCCGTCTTGCCTCCAATTTTAAAAAGTAATCTGTAAGGAGCATCTCTCATTCCATCTGATCAGATGAGTAGTTGGTAAGTCTATTGAAAAAGTCCATCGAAGCAGGAAATGGTTAAAAAAAAAAAAAGGATATAGCCCTGAAATATTCTAACTTAAACACCTATGGCTATATATTCATTCACCCATCTTTTGATGTAGAGCCAGAGCCTTTTCTTTGAGCTTGATCTGAGCTACCTGTTTGGCGTGCCCCCGAATCCTTCTTGCAGAAACCACCCCTCTGAGTCCTAGCTTGAACTTCTTTAAGTCGATGTAGATCCCAAGGCCCTTGTTGTCTAGATTTTTAGAATTCCATCGCCACCCAATAGTCTCTAGCTGTCCAGGCCACACCTGACTCAACTAACTCCCTCCAGGCCCCCCGACCCCGGCGTCCCCCCATCCCCAGTCCCAACCCCAGTGGCTTATGTGCTTATATTATGTGGTCATTGTGTGTCAAGCTGGAGCTTTGCTCCATCTTTCTTTCTTTCTTTTTAAACTGACTTTATTTTCAGAGCAGTTTTAGATTCACAGCAATACTATCAAGAGGTACAGAGATTTCTCATGACCCTCCCCCGATCAACGATACACACCTACCGAGCCTCCTCCATTCTCAACATCCCCCACCAGAGTGGAATGTTTGTTACAATGAATGAACCTGTATTAAAACATCATTATCACCCAGAGTCCACAGTTTACATTAGGGCTTACTCTGAAGTGACGGTGTTATACTGTCTATGAGTGTGAACATGTCTGTAATGACGCATGTCAGCTAAGTTTTTAAATGAATCTTTCCGAAGCATTCAACTGCACTTGGAGAAACATCAGTCTTCTTCCTCTTTTTTTAATGCATTTATTTATTTTTGGCGGTGCTGGGTCTTTGTTGCTGCGGGGGCTGCTCTCTAGCTGTGTTGCACAGGTTTCTTTTTGTGGTGGCTTCTCTTATTACTGAGCATGGGGCTTCGGTAGTTGTGGCTTACAGGCTTAGTTGCCCTGCACCTTGTGGAATCTTCCTGGATCGGGGATCAAACCTGTGTCTCCTGCATTGGCAGGCATATTCTTAACCACTGGACTACCAGAGAAGTCCCAACATCAGTTTTCTTTTCCCACTCCTACTTTATCAGTCATATACAATTATGTGACTTAATAACAAGAGTAAGTGACTGGAGAACCCACCCAGCTGACTTTTGGTAAGCCCAGTTGCATCCTTGTTAAGTCAGTGGGAGGAGTTAGAGGTTGGTTGTCCTAGAGACCAATCCTCCAGCTGCTGTGGGCATCGCATTGTTCTGGGGTTTACAGTAGACAAGGTGAGTGACGGCTAATCCAGAAGCCAGCTCCAGTGAGTTGGCTATTTTTTTGCCTTTTGTTTTGGCTTCATCATGGCCTTTGGGGTCTCGGTTCTCTGACGAGGAATTGAACTCAGGCCCCGGTAGTGACAGCGGAGTCCTGAACACTGGACACTAGGAAGTTCCTCAGCAAGCTAGTGAATCCGGAGAGCCCCTACCACACAACCATGCATAACAAAAAGCCATCTCTCTGAGTAATTGGTGAAACCAGAACTAATTCTGTCCATTTATATGTTCTAGTTATTTTTTGCACCTTTAAAACAGATGATAGTTGTTTTTATTTTTATTTTTTTGAGTTAATGAGGAATATAGGGTCATATGGAGAAGGCAATGGCACCCCGCTCCAGTACTCTTGCCTGGAGAATCCCATGGACAGAGGAGCCTGGTGGGCTGCAGTCCATGGGGTCGCTAAGAGTCAGACACGATGGAGCGACTTCACTTTCACTTTTCACTTTCATGCACTGGAGAAGGAAATGGCAACCCACTCCAGTGTTCTTGCCTGGAGAATCCCAGGGACGGGGGAGCCTGGTGGGCTGCCGTCTGTGGGGTCGCACAGAGTCGGACACGACTGAAGCGACTTAGCAGCAGCAGCAGCAGCGGGTCATAAGTGTAAATTATACTAGACTTCAAAGTCTTTGAGGACTTGCCCCAGTAGTCCAATGGTTGGGAGTCTACCTGCCAACATAAAGGACGTGGGCTTGATCCCTGATCTGAGAAGATCCCACATACTGCAGAGCAACTAAGCCCGTGAGCTGCAGCTACTGAGCTCTTGCCCCACAAGAGAAGCCACTGCAAGGAGAAGCCCGAGCACAATAAAGACCCAACACAGCCAAAAATAAGTTAAAAAAAACACCAAAACTCTTTGAATTGAGCCTACTGTAATAGGCTGGACATGACATAACCTGCCTAATGGGGATAATGACAGAGGAGCAACGTTGGTATGAAGCTCAAAGTGCGATTCTCAAAGTGTGCTCCCAGGACCTGCAGCAGCAATGTCACCTGGGAACTTGTAAGAAATGCAAGCTCTCAGGCTCCACCCCAGACCTGCTGCCTCAGAAATTTAGAGGTGGGGCCCAGTCATCCAGGTTTGAACAAACCTTCCAGGGAATTACAACGTTCCCCGGAATTAACAGATGTTTCACATCCCAGGTTTACCACTTAGAGGCTGTGTGATCTCGGACGAGTACCTCTCTAAATCGGTTTTCTCTCTGGGAAATGGGAATAAAAACAAACCTAACCTACAAGATAGCTGTGAAGAGGAAATGAGAAAATACACATAGTACAGTGCCTATCAGGGAAGCTTGGCAGGCTGCAGTCCATGGGGTCACAAAGATTCAGACAGGACTTAGCGACAAAACAACAACAACGGTGACTAATACACAGCAGCTACTCAATAAACCTTAGAAAGAGTTAATGCTATTATTAGCAACTCATGAGTGGCCGCTCTAATTAGGGTGAAATACTTCTGGGAGAAAAGGGAAAAGATTTTAGGAGATTGAAAATCTTTTTGAGCACCAAAAGATAGCAGGCATTTTGACCTCATCATGTCCCTTGGTGCTCCTGATAAATGGGTTGAAGTAGGTAGGAGTCTACTCTCTGCCCACTTCACAGACGTGGAGACTGAGGCTTGGTGAGGCTGAAGGACAGCTAAGAAACAGGAGAGCTGGGGCCTGACAATATTCAAGTACCTCACATGTCCCACCCCAACCCCTGCCCCAGACAGATGCAGGCAGATTGCCAGCTTCTGGTGCCAGGGGAGCCCTCCTCCTCCAAACCATCTGCCCTCCGGAGGAGGCTGGCTGTTCTCCGCCCGGGCCCCCGCCTGGTGCAGGAGGAGGCTTGGACTTCCTGCAAGGGTCACAGCAGGATTGTTTCTTGGTGCTCTGCAAGTCAAGCCTTTCAACTCACTTCTGCTGCACAGGGGTTTCCTGGTTCTGTGCCCTGGACCATTTCTGCTGCTCCAGCCAACACTAGCATGATTCCGTTTTGGACCTCAGATCAGAATTAATAAAGGCATTAATTCATTAGACATTGCACCTGCTCTGTGCCATGCACTGAGGGTATAAAACAGACGCAGGCTCTGCTGCAAAGAACCTGAATATTCACGTGAAAGCACACAGAAGCAACAAATGCCATCCAGTGTGATCAAGGCAGAGATGAGAGTATATATAACCTTGCTCTGTGAGAGCCCAGAAGAGGTACCAGATCCAGCCTAAGAGTGGGAGGAGATACAGGAAGGCTTCCCCGAGGAGGTGACCTCTGAGCTGTTGGGTAGGACTTCACCTTAGTGTTTCATCAATTTCTCATTTTGCGGATGGAGAAATGGGTCCAGAGAGAATTATTTAGCTCATTCATTCATCGAAGCAAGCAAACATTTCCCCAGTATCTACATCCCTGAGCCTGAGGATACAGAGGTGAATAAGGAAACAGCCCTGCTAGGTGGAAGGTGCAGAAAAGCCCTAAGCACCCAGGGGACCTCACCAGTTCTTGGCCCATGAGTACCTTTGTTTCTTTTTTATGTGTATGTGTATTTCATTTCCCTTTACTCTTTCTTTTTTAATAGAATTTTTTTAATGTGGACCATTTTTTTGAGTCTTTTTGAGTCTTTATTGAATTCATTACAATATTGTTTCTGTTTTATGGTTTGGTTTTCTTGGCCACAAGGTATGTGACATCTTAGCTCCCCACCCAGGAATTGAACCTGCACCCCCTACACTGGAAGGCTAAGTCTTAACCACTGAACAGTCAGGGAAGTTCCCCTCCTTTACTTTTTTAAAGTCAGGATTATTACAGTATGGGCTTCCTTGGTGGCTGAGACAGTAAAGAATCCACCTGCAACACAGGAGACCCAGGTTCAATTCCTGGGTCAGGAAGATTCCCTGGAGAAGGGAATGGCTACCCACTCCAGTATTCTTGCCTGGAGAATTCCATGAACAGAGGAGCCTGGTGGGCTACAGTCCATGGGGTCGCAAAGAGTCAGACACGACTAAGCAACTAACACTGCATTACAGTGTGCTTTACATAGAGTAAAATTATCCCTCTTAAGTGTATATAGTCCCGCAAGTTTTGACCAATCTGTACAGTCCTGTAACCATCATAATGGAGAACACCATTTACATCTCATGCTCAGCCCACTTCCTGAGCCCAAGATTTCCGCCTAATTCACTGTGGGATCTGGGGCAGGTCTTCCCCTGCCTGGACCTCAGTATCTTCATCTATAAAACAGGCACCATGGTGTCTCTCTCACCTGAGAGAAGTGAGGATGCTGAGCAGAATAAGCACTCAATAAGAAATCCCAACTCTTAGTTAGAGGTCCCTTTTTCGTTTTCCTTTTTCTCTGCTCTCTCTCTCTCTCTCTCTCTCACACACACACACACACACATACACACACACACATATATACACACACACACAAAGACATTTTTGAAGCCTCCCGTTTCTCAGAGAGGTTTTATTTATAGGCCGCTCCTCATTGTGAATGTGAAAAGGAGAAAGCCCAGGCCCTCCGTGGACCTTTCATGTGTAAATCAGCCCGGGCCCAGAGCACGGGGGTCACCGGGAGGGGGATTTCACTCTTAATTACTCCTGGAGAAAGCGGGCAGGAGGGCGGCCGGGCGCAGGCTCCACCCACGTGGGAGGGAGGCCTCGCCCGGAGCCCCCGGCCGGCCGGGCCCAGCGCGGGGAGCCTGACTCGGCCCGGCCTGGGGCCGGCGGGGCTGGGGCCGCACCAGGCCGAGGCGCAGGTGCCTCCGGGGAGCTGGGCCCCAAGTGGGTTTCTTTGGGGGCAAGATGTTTGGACGTGGAAAGAGGGTACACAGTTTGGCACAGTGGTGTTAAAGGAGGGATGGTCTGCGAAAGGGCCATGGGGGTCTTAATTTAAAAAAATATTTTTTTTGAAGGTCTTTTATTCATTCTTTCTTCTCCGGTGTAAAAATAACCTGCTCCAGAAAAGAAGTATGGACTAGTCTCACCAGGCCCTGCAGATTGTTAACCTCTGGGAATGAACTTGGAGGTGAGGAGAGGAAGGTTATTAACATTCTCTTCTAACACTTTTCTTTCTTTCTTTCTTTCTTTCTTTTTTTCACTTTTCTTAAATTTTGACTTAGTGCAATGGCTACATTTTGGCTTTTGTAATTAAAAAAGAGGTGCTTTTCATATTTGTGATGCTGTTTTCTAATTAGAAAAGAAATTCATATTCAACGTAAAACACTGAAATAATCATAACCACCCATGTTCCCACCCAAAGAAAGTCACTTTTAATATTTAGGATATGGACTTTGATGATTTACTTCAAATTTTTTCCATTCTATTTTGGTCTTTTTTTTTTGCATACTTATATTGCATACTTTGCATACTACTTAACATATTGAGGTTTCTTCCATTTGTCTTGTCTCTTCATGTGTTTTATGTATTTATATAGTATATATTTAAATTTGTATAAATGTATGTATATAAACATACATGTATTTATATACTTCATTTTAAATATATTTAAATACATTATATAAATATAGTATGCATCTGTACATCATTTATCATATAAATATATTGTGTAATAAAATTATATATTTAAATATTATAAATATCTATATCTATATTTATGTTACTGGATGGCAATATCTTGAAATTTAAAATATACAAACCCTGGGCCCCAGCAATTCCATATCTAAAATTCTATTCCACAGGGAATTCCCTGGCAGACCAGTGGTTAGGATCTGTGCTTTCACTTTGAAGACCAAGGGTTCAGTCCCTGTAAAGGGAACTAAGATCCTGCAGGCCAAGCAGCATGGCCAAATAAATTAATAAAATAAAAATAAAATTGTATTCTACAGAGGTAATCACATGAATTTTAAAAAGATAAATAGTATAAATAAATATGTTCATTGCAGCAGTGTTTATAATATAAAAGCAAAATCTAGCAACACTTGATGTTCACCAGCAACCTTGATGTGATTAATTAAATAAATTCTGTCACATTACTGTGGAATGTTCTGTAGCCATTGTAACAGAATATCATACTTGCAAAAATACCTAAAAATCTATACTGCATTGAATAATGAAGCCAGTTCCAAAATTATATTGTATGAATCTCCATATATAAACACATTTTCTCAATGGATAATCACATCTAAGTGTACATGCACAGAAAATTTCTAGAACACACATGAAAGTGGTAACAATTACTTTTGGGGAAAGAGACTAAACGATAAAGAGGGGTCCAAGAAGTTTTACTTTCACCTTATACCTTTGTGTACTGATTGAATTTTTCTTTTAATGTGAGCATATGTTATATTTACACTTTTAAAGTAGCTAACAGAAAATGTAGTTTAGCTATATATAACTCTAATACATGTTCATTAAAAAAAGTACAATATTTACTAAATAAACACAAAATTCATTAAAGAAATACAGTGTTGACTAAGGAAAATATAATCCTTTATGCCATCCAAAGGGCTTCCCTGGTGGCTCAGTGGTGAAGAATCTGCCTGCCAAGCAGGAGACTCAGGTTTGATGGGTGGGGAAGACCCCCTGGAGAAGGAAATGGCAACCCACTCCAGTATTCTCTCCTGGGAAATCTTTTGCATGGAGAGAGGAGCCTTGCAGGCTATAGTCCATGGGGTTGCAAAGAGTCAGGCATGACTTAGTGACCTAGCCACCACTACCATCCAAAGACTCTACTGTTAACATTTTGGTTTGTTTCCTTCTAGTTTTACTTCTGAAGTTTTTTTAACTTTGAAAAATACACTAGTGGAGAAATATACACAAAAGATATATTTGTAGCAAAGTTAGGAAATAAATATCACTCAAACCCTACTATTCAGAAATAACCACTGTTTACATTTTAGTGTATAAACTTTGAATGTTTCTCTGCAGTGTTTTCTTTGGGGAGTTGATTTTTTTTTTAGACTCTATTCCTTCTATATATGTAAATTTGTGTTTTCCTTTAATTCATTAGTTTATTTTTATATGCTCTTTTATGTTATTATGAATGACTTGCAACTGCAGGGTTTTTGTTGTCTTTTTTTTTTTTTTGCTGAGTGGCATGCAAGATCTTATTTCCCCTGACCAAGAACCAAACCCATGCCCCCTGCAGTGGAAGTGGAGAGTCCCAACCACTGGACTGCCAGGGAATTCCCACAGGTCTAGTTTTCATAGTTACAAAATATTCTTCATTCAAATATTTTCCTATTAATGACTGCTAAATTATTTCCAAATTTTTTATTATAAACAACTCAGATGAACACTTTGTACTTACATCTTTGTGTGTGTGTGTCAAATAATGTCCTTGTATCTCAGCAGTGGAGCTATTGGGCTACAGGCAATATCCATTTCTCTGGCACTTAGAAAGCATTGTCCAGTGTTTCTCAAGCATTACCCTCCCTTACATCTCACCTACAGTCTCTAAAATGTCCTGTCCATTTCACTGTGTATGATGGGCACAGGCATTCTGAAGGAGGGTGGGTTCAGCAAGATTGGGTGGGAACACTTGAAATTTAAATATATATCTCTGCCTGTCTGTTGCCAGCTACCCTCTTTCTTTCTTTTCTCTAGGATTGCAGCAACCACCACAATTTACTAAGCATTTACTTTGTGCTTTGCATTGTAAATCCATTATCTCATTGACTTCTTCCAAGAATCCTATGAGGGGGGTTGTCTTCAGCTCAGTTCAGTTCAGTCGCTGAGTCGTGTCTGACTCTTTGGGACCTCATGGGCTGCAGCACACCAGGATTCCCTGTCTGTCACCAACTCCCGGAGCTGACTCAGACTCATGTCCATCTAGTTGGTGATGCCATCCAACCATCTCATCCTCTGTCTTCCCCTTCTCCTCATGCCTTCAATCTTTCCCAGCATCAGGGTCTTTTCAAATGAGTCAGTTCTTTCCATCAGGTGACCAAAGTATTGGAGTTTCAGCTTCAGCATCAGTCCTTCCAATGAATATTCAGGACTGATTTCCTTTAGGATGAACTGGTTGATCTCTTCGCAGTCCAAGGTACTCTCAAGAGTCTTCTCCAACAGCACAGTTCAAAAGTATCAATTCTAAAAAAAAAAAAGTATCACTTCTTCAGTGGGTGGTCTTACCATCCCCATTTTACAGATGAGGAAACTGAGATTTAGGGAGGTAAGTGTCATTCCCAAGGTCACATAGCTGACAAGTGGTTCATCTAAGGTTTGAACCAGGCAATCTGATTTCCTTTGGCTGATCAAGAACTCATTTTACAGATAAGAAAAACTGAGGCAGAAAAGGGATGCAAATTGCCCAAAGTCAGAAAAAGAGTCTAAGTCCAAATTGCTGAACTTTTTCTGGCTATGCTCTGTTGTCTGGTCACAGGGTGCTAATCCAGGGAGTTAAGACTGCAAGAGTTCCAAAATTCTTTGCCTTCAAAAATCTGCCTGTGGGGCTTTTTGGTTCCAAGAAGATTCAGAGTCTCTCAGAACCACAACCCTAGCTGTGCGTCTCCCCTCCAGGGCTGGGTGCTGCCTGTCAGTCATAAAAAAAAAAAGGAAATAGCAGTTAAGCACCCACATGCCCAGACAAGGAGGAAATCGGGCAGCCCCACTGCATGTTCAGCCATGGCCATTCCATGGTTGGGAGCATGAGGTATTAAGATAAACAGAAAAGAGGTGATAGAAGAGGAGAAGGAAAAATGCTTTAAAAACGAGTGCATTCTGCAGGAAGGCTGCAAAAACAGGCAGTAGAGAAGGAGATTGGTGCCTGGAAGAAGTAAATTCAAATTGGCTGGTCCCCACAGGTGAGTGAGGACCGAGTGCCCCAGCCTGAGCTCCCACTTCAAAGAACTGCAGTATGCCTGACCTAGAAGTTCCGGTCACTGTATTTTACTGATAAGGCCTCTGTGGTAGAGGAAGGCAGGTTCTCCGCAGCCACACAGATGGCACGCCTGGGTTCTGTCATTGCTTTTGAGTCCCTTCTGTTACAGTCCCGTCATCTCTTGGTTGACGATCAGAGCTGCAGGAGGTGAAACTAGCTCTGTCTTCCTTGCTTAGGCCTGGGCCACACTCCCTGCTCACATGTGGACTCAGCTGCTCTAATGGGAAGACAACTAGTAGAATGGAAAATTCCAAAAAAGTTCAAGATAATAGATATTTATCCATCCATGTATTCATCTATCTGTCCACCCATCCATTCATCCGTTCATGCATTCATACATCCATTGATTTGTCCATCCATTTGCCAGTCGTTCTCTCCATCCACCCATCTATCCATGGGTATCCATCATCCATGCTAACACTAACCACTAGTTTACTAGTGGGCATGCTGGTTAAGATGGAGTGCTAGAATCAGACTCTCCAAGTTAGAATCCTGGCTCCACCATACATATAATCTGTGTGAAAGTGTCAGTCGCTCTGTCATGTCCCACTCTTTTTGCGACCCCATGGACTGTAGCATGCCAGGCTCCTCTGTTCGTGGAATTCTCCAGGCAAGAATACTGGAGTGGGTAGCCATTCCCTTCTTCAGGGGATCTTCCCAACCCAGGGATCAAACCTGAGTCTCCAGCATTGCAGCCAGATTCTTTACTGTCTGAGCCCCCAGGGAAGCCCATAATCAGTGTGACCTTAGAAAAATTTCCTAGCCTCTTTGGTGTCTTACTTCTTTCATCCATAAAGTACAGATAACAGTATTATAGTCACCTCAGAAGGTTGTTGTAACTCTTAAATGAGTTAATCCATTTAAGGTACTCAGAACTAGTTCATATCTATTGGGCACATGCTCCTTAGTCTAATGCCACTTATTATTTTTTAAATAATTGTATTTATTTATTTATGGTTGTGCTGGGTCTACACTGCTGCTCAGGCTTTTCTCTAGTTGCAGCAAGTGGGCAATACTCTCTAGTTGCAGTGTGCAGACTTCTCACTGCGGTGGCTTTTCTTGTCAAAGAGCGCTGGGCTCTAGGGCGTGGGGGCTTCAGGAGTTGCAGCTCCCAGGTGCTAGAGCTCAGGATCAACAGTTGTGGCTCATGGGCTTAGTTATCCTGCGGCATGTGGGATCTTCCTAGACCAGAGATCGAACCCGGGTCTCCTGTATTGCAAGGCGGATTCTTCACCACTGAACCACCAGGGAAGCCCAATGCCACTTATTATTATTCAATAATGTTCTATATTGGGCTCTGAGGTTTGAATAAGGTGCCATGGATAACAAAGGCAAAAGCAAACACCTTGGTCAAGTCAGGGAAAGTTGAGTTACACAGTCTTAGTTCCCCTGGCCAGGGATCGAACCCATGCCCCCTGCAATGGGGGCGTGGAGTCTTAACCACTGGAATGACAAGGAAGTTCCAGAGGTTTCCACTCCTTGATCCATTGTATTCAGGGTCCTTGTATTCACTGTATTGGAGTCCAGAGATGAGAGGAAGGGAGAAGGCCCCCCACCTGGCTGAGATCTGGGGCCTGTGTAGCACATACCGTGGGCCACTGCCCTGGTCCCCTAGGCGTGCATTTCCCAGGTGCTGGTGGCTGACTGGTCATGGCTGAGTCCTCTTGTGGCTTCCTCACAGTTGAAGGGAGCAGTTGCACCAAAGTCATGCCCCTTTCTCAGGGTAACTTATGTGCTTGGGCTGGTTCAATGCAGCTATAAATGCTCGGCCCCCTCATGTCAACTCAGGACCATTCTGACGGACCATCTTAGCTTCAGAACTCCCCAGGCAGTTGGCTGGGGGCCCCAGCGAGACTCATTGCAGCCCAACTCCTTCCTTCCCTTTCTACAGGATTCGGCCCCAGGAGCAGTTCCTAATAAAGTTCTGCGTGCTGAGCTCTCTGTCTCTGCCTCTGCCTCTGTTGGATAAAGGATGCAACGTCGCTTATGTGTGTACTATGTGCTTCATACAAAATGTCTGATAACACCCTCAGGGAGTAGATACTCTCATGGCTCCCATTTGCAGATGGGAAAGTCAAGGCTCCGATCGCCGAGAGGATTTGCCCAGAACCCCACAACTGGTGTTGGATTCGAACTCAGCAGTCAAGAGCCAGAGTCTGTGTGCTTACCTATTACACTACACTGCTTACTGGGGTCTGACCAAACCCAGGAATTCAGTGCAGCATGGGGTGGGTGGAGGTGTAAATGTGGGGGGAGGATGCACGTACTTGTGCGAGATCAGGTGTACCCGTGTGTTCACTATGAGTGTGATGGCATGAGTGTGTGCCCATGTAACATGTGCCTATGTTAACATGTGCTCTGGGGGTTTCCGTTGTGGTCCAGTGGTTAAGACTCCATGCTTCCAGGGCAAGAGGCCTGGGTTCGATCCCTGGCCAGGAAACTAGACACCCACGTACCATGACTAAGACCTGGTACAGTCAAATACATAAATAATAAAAACAAATATTAAAAAAAAATGTGCTCTGCTGACATGAGTGTACCTGGGCAAGGCATGTGGGGGTGTATGTGCACCCAGGGTCCCCCACTCAGGCTCCTACGGGACCTGTCTCCCTGCTCTCTCCCCCTTCCCCTTGGTATACAGAAAGAGTAACTGTGTGTATAAGACGTTGCTGTTGTTCAGTTATCCAGTCGTGTCTCATTGTGACCCCATGGACTATAGCACACCAGGCTTCCCTGTCCTTCACTATCTCCCAGAGCTTGCTCAAACTCATGTCCATTGTGCCAATGATGCCATCCAACCATCTCATCCTCTGTCGCCCCCTTCTCCTCCTGCCCTCGATCTTCCCCAGCATCAGGGTCTTTTCCGACGAGTAGGCTCAAAGTGTTGGAGCTTCAGCATCAGTCTTCCCAACAAATATTCAGGGGTGAGGGGCAGGATTTGGATTCCAAACTCAAAATATGTCCTTATTCCCACCATGCCTTCCAAGAGTAGTGGAGTCTGGACTTTGGAAACATCAAGTTCTCTGTGGAGTAGACTTGGAGATCAGGGCAGGGAAGTCAAAATGATGTGGTTTGCTCCAGAGGCAGCAGTCCCAGCCTCTGACCTTGCCTGGCTTCCAGCCGGGGTAGCTGGTATCTGCTACTTCAGTGGGAGCCACGTACTTATCGATGAGAGAAGGCTGTGGAGTGAAACTGTTGGGTTCAAATTCCAGCTTAGCCTCTGAACTGTGTGACTCCAGCAGCTTACTTACCCTCTCTGATCCTCCATTTCCACTCTGTAAAATGGGTGCCTAATAATAGTAGCTTCAGGACTTCCCTGGTGGTCCAGTGGCTCAGACTTTGCTCTGCCAAAGCAGAGGGCCCAGTTTCAACACCTGGTTGGGGAACTAGAGCACACATGCTGCAGCTAAGAGTTCACATGCTGCAACTGAAAATCCCTCATGCCACAACAAGGACCTCCCAGTGGTAAAGAACCCGCCTGCCAGTGCAGGAGACATAAGAGACGTGGGTTCAACCCCTGGGTCGGGAAGATCCCCTGGAGGAGGGCATGGCAACCTACTCCAGTATTCTTGCCTGGAGAATCCCACGGACAGAGGAGCCTGGTGGGCTACAGTCCATAGGGTAGGACACAACTGAACAACTTAGCACACACACACATCACAACAAAGATAGAAGATCCCAAGTATTGCAATTAAGACTCAGTGCAGCCAAATAAATAAATTAAAATTAGTATTTTAAAAAATAGCTCCTTCATAGGGTTTGTTGTAAGGCTGAATACCACTTGAAATAATGCTGAGCCATAGTATTTACTCAATAAATGCTATTTGTTATTGTTTTCAACCCATACCAGACAAGTAAAGGCCATTGGAAAGTGCTTTTCCAGGGGAAAGTGATTTTGTCTGGCAACTGTTGTGTCCAACTTGGTGAAGCAGGTACTATCATGCCCATTTTATAGATGAGGAAACTAAAGCTCATGAAGTAACTTGCCCCAGGTCATATAGCAAATGAGCAAAAAAATAAATAAACACCAGATTTCAGAAGTTTTTCTCACTTCAATTCCAGGGGTCTTCTTATCACACCACAACCGCCTCCTTGTTTGGCCTCGAAGCTTCTGAGTTGTGACAACTTGTCCTGTAAAGTGTGTTTAACACAGATATTTTGCTGCCTACATGTTTTTCTCTCATGTTGCCTCCTCACGAGAGAATGCGCAGGGATTCGCAGGTGGTCAGACTTTATAGGGAAAAAAATAGACATTTTTCTTTGTGCAGAAAGAAATACAAGTGAGACAGTTGAGACAGTCAAGGGGAGCTCTTAGAGGAAAATGGGAGGTTCAAAAGGCAATTAATGCTGCTGCCTGAAACTGTAAACAGAGAGTTACCGGCTCTGACACCACCAGCACACAGACAAAAGGCAGACAGAAACAGCGCACCACAAGGAAGCTGGGATAGACTACGCCCAGGGTGGAAATTAAATGTTTTCCTGAAAGCAGAAAGGAAAACCATGGTTAAAGCCAAGCCATGACTCTAAGTCTGTGACTCCATGACAGGATAAGTTTAGGGAGTTAAAGGCCCATAATTTGTACGTAGGTGTTGTGAATCTTAAAGTCTTACTCGGCATTACCTCTTGACCTAAGTTTGTAAAACAAAAGTAATAATTAGAAGTGAGTCTTCAATGTACTTTGTCATTTTAACTAAGGATATATATGCACAAATATATGTGTGTGCATATGTATATGTATGTGTGTGTGTGTGTGTGTGTGTGTATGTATATTGTTGTTGTTGTTTAGTTGCTAAATCTTGTCCGACTCTTTGCAAACTCATGGTCCCCAGGCTTCTCTGTCCATGGGACTTCCCAGGCAAGAATACTGAAGTAGGTTGCCATTTCCTGATCCAGGATCAAACCTGAGTCTCTTGCACTGGCGGGAGAATTCTTTACCACTGAGCCACCATATAGATGTGTATAATATATAAATATAAGTATACATATACATATATATATATATATATGTATATATATATATATAGAGAGAGAGAGCCTTCCCAGGTGGCACTAGTGGTAAAGAACCTGCCTGCAAGAGACATAAGAGATGTGGGTTCTATCCCTGGGTGGGGAAGATCTCCTGGAGGAGGGCATGGCAACCTACTCCAGTATTCTTGCCTGGAGAAACCCATGGACAGAGAAGCCTGGCAGGCTACAGTCCATAGCGTCTCAAAGAATCAGACATGACTGAAGCAACTTAGCACATATATATATGTACATATATCTATATACATATATATATGTACATATATCTATACATATACATACAGAAAGAGAGAGAGGACATAATTGGTATATTTAGTCAGAATGCTTGGTTGTAAGCAACAGAAACTCAAACCGACGCAAACAAAAAAAGTAATAATTAATAATAATTATTATTTTGTGGCTCACAACTGGATCCAGGCATCCAAAGATTTCAATTTTCTTGCCATGTCTTGACTCTGGTTTCCTCAGTGGCTTGTTCTCTGGCAGATACACTCATCTCCAGGGTGACAAGATGGCCCTCAGAAGCCCCATGCTTGCTTTCTCCTCCTAGTGGAAAGGAAAGTGCCTCTTCCCAGCAAAAATCTCAGGGCTGTCTCTTATTGGCTCTCACTGGGTCACCGGTCCATCTTCCAACCATCCTATGCCCAGGCTGGATCACAGGGGTGCAGTAAACCCCATCCAAGGTACACAGAGTAATATTGGCAGAGGGAGAGTTCCCCAGGGAAACTGGGGTGCTATTCCCTGAAGAAGACATGTGTTTATCTGGTAGTTCCCACTCCTCTGTTAACCAAGCTTAAGGAGAGGCTGTTATCAAGAAGAATAATAATAAATAATTCTTACTGAGTGCGTGTTTAAGGCACTGGGCCAAGTTGGTACAGATAGTAAGGAGTGGAACTAGGCGGTCCGTTCCCAAATCCTGTGATCTTAGCTCCTCTGGGAACTACGTTTAGAGCTGGTCTGTCTCAGAATTGCCAACTCCATGCCACAGAGGAAGCCCTGAGCCTTCTAAAGGGTTACCTTGCAAAGGCTAACCAGTGTGAGATGGCAGATAGCATCCTGAGGCTCATTTATGATTCTCAAAGGATTTCTCCTGGAGCAGAGCCATGGATCTGGTGCCTTGGATACTGAGAGGTTTGACAACAGGGAAGTCGGATCCAAGGATCATTGTGGGTTTAAGAGACAGGATCTCTGCAGCTATACGTTCCCACCCACCCTCCAGGAGTGGTGGAAAAGAGAGTGCCACAGAGGGATGTGCTAGGTTTGAGCCCATTCTGCCACTAATCAGTTGTATGTGTCCTCAAATAAACTCCCTTAGTCTCCCCTCAGTTTCTGCATCCATAAAATGGGCATAATAACACATTCCTTAGAAAGGTGTGAAAATTGCATTGTCTGCAAAACAATGCCTGCTTGTCACCTAGCTGGAGCTAGTTTTCTCACATTATCTCCCTTCTCAACACCCCCAGAGATTTAGCAAGGGTGGCAAAGGAGAAAAAGGGAATCACCTCTGCCTTTTCTTTCTAGCCTGCTCCCCACAGCCCCTGCCCCCTGGCCCTCTATTCAGGATCGTTCTTGGGTTGGAATCCCAGCTCAGTGGTCCATTTCTTAGCATTGTGTCCTTGGGTAAGTCCTTGTCGCCCTGCTCAGCTGGAGGACACACCTCCCTAACGGGATCTGATGAATGAGCCCGGCATATAGGTTGTTTAGTCTCTGGGTCTGAACCAGAGAAAGGGGTAGAGCTGGTGGGTTAGAGCTTCGGGCAGGGTCTGAGATGACTGGTCAGCAGAGGAGCCCTTTCAACACCACTTCCCATCTCCTGAATAATTCATGACAAGCAAAATGGCTGGCCCAGACTCGGCCCGCCTCCTCCCGGCTGGGGAAGGGAGAAAAGTTTCTAATTACAGGTCAGCAGCCCGACTCCCTGGGGCCCCTGGGTGCTGCACACAGGGGGTATTTATGGGAAGAGACGAGAGGGTGGGGAGGGCTCAGACCCAGCCCCTTTCCTGAAGGAACTCAACTCCTTTTGAAATTGTAGCCTGGACTTGCCAAGGCCCAGGGAGTGACTGGGGAAAGAAATTTAGAATCAACAGGAAGAGAAAACCTTGCCGAGGGTTCAGAAAGGAGAAGGCAGGTCAGGGAGGGGCGCTCAGGAAGCCTTGGCAGGGGGAACACACAGGCTGGGGAGGGAAGAGACTTGTCCATCTTGGACAGCGTGGCCACGCCAGGCTTGTCCTGACTCCAAATTGCAGCCTCTCAGCCAACTCACCTGTAAAACTGGAAGAAACACTGAACTGACCTTACAATGTGGTTGGGGAATTACACAAATTATTATACATGAAGGGCTCAGAATATTCCCTGGCACATAAATTCAAAAAATATATTAGTGGTAGTAAAGTTGTTCTTTCTTACATTATGTTGCCCCCACGTGTGCGCATGTGCTAAGTTGCTTCACTCATGTCCGACACTTTGTGACCCAATGGACCGTAGCCCACCATGTTTCTCTGTCCATGGGATTTCCCAGGCAAGAATACTACCGTTTCGTTGGTAAAGATGAGGGTGACAACATGGTTCAGGGAGATGGTGGGAGGCGAGAAAAGTATTTGCGAGGCAGTTTTGTATAGTGATTAACAGAAAAATCTCAGCTTTCACTGCCGTGGCCTAGGTTGAATCTCTGGTCGGAGAACTGAGATCCCACAGGCCATGTGGCACAGCCCAAAATGAAAGAAAAAGAAAGAAAGAGTGAAGATCCCATATATTTCACAGCAATTATAACAGTAATAGTAAACGATAAGAACCCCAAGACTAGACTGACTGAATTCAATCTCACCTCTGCCTCTTACTAGCTGTGTGATCTTAGGCAAGTTGCTATACCTCTCTGAACCTCTGGATTCACCATGTCTAGTAAGGTCCCTGTCCTCATGGAGCTTGCAGTCAAGCAGAAAGTTTATGCTAATCAAGAGCATTTATTGAATGCCTACTGTGTGCAGGTCCCATGCCTATCGTGTCATGGAACTTGCCATCTATCAGAAATGCTATACAAATCTAGAACACTTATTATGTGCCTACTATGTGTAGGTCCTGGACACTGCAGACAGTCCTTAAACATGCCTTCCCAGCATCCCCTCCCATCTTACAGATGAAGAGACTGAAGCTCAAAGAGGTCAGGAGAGAGGAGATTTGAAACTAAGGGATCATTCAACAGCATGGTTGAATCTCCAAACTAGCATTTGAGCGAAAAAAGCCAGACACAAAAGAGTACACATTGTGTGATTTCATTTATATGAAATTCTAGAAAATGCAAACTAACCTATAGTGACAGAAAGCAGATCAGTGGTTGCCTAGGAACCAGGGGTTGGGGGGGGGGTAGGCATTGACTGCAAAAGGGCACAGGGGAACTTTTGGGGAGATGGAAATGCTTTACATCTGACAGAGATGCTAGTTACATGGGTGTATGCATTTGCCAATGCTCACTGAACTGGACACTTAAGATGGGTGCATTTTATTGCCTGTAAATTGTATCTCAATAAAGTTGTTTTTTTTAAAGGGGAAAAAATTGTTCACTAGACTCCCAAGTTCTGCAACCCTTCTTATATTGAGTGTCTGATTTCAAGCCCATTTGTGGGCAGAAACTGGATCAGATTCATCTTTAGGTTTTTCTCCCTCTTCCGACCCCTGGGGTCTAGCAAAATATTCTCAAACTCAATAGTGCAGATCAACAAACATACTTTGGTAATTCCCTGGTGGTCCAGTGGTTAGAACTTGGTGCTTCCATTGCAGGAGGCGTGGGTTCGATCCCTGCTTGGGAAACTATGATCCGGCAAGCTGCACAGTACAGCCAGACAAAACACACACACACACACACACACACACACACACACAAATAAATATACCTCGGGCATCTTTATTTGTGCTGGGTGCTGAGGTCACAGACCTATCCATCTAGTCGGGAAAACAGAAGAAAATAAACAAATAGACACAAGACATTGCAGTCAGCGTTCTGATGGGGTAAGTGAGACATCAAGGGTGTGCCAGCTGGGTCACAGTAACGAATCCTGTATAGAACCTGGAGCCTGCACTGTGGGGAGGATGTCCTGACTCTGGAATCTACTCCCTGGGTTCAAATCCTCACTCTGCTCCTTGCTAGGTGTGTGACCTTGGGTGACCGACCACCTTAACATACCAAGCTTCAGTTCCCACCTCCCGGAAGTGATCAAAGCTGCTTCAGCCGAGAGGGCAGTTGTAAGGATGAAACAAGAGGGCAACCTTGCATGCTTAGCCCATCAAGCATAATAAGAGTTCGTGAGTGCGTGCTAAGTCACTTCAGTCGTGTCCAACTCTGCGATCCCGTGGACTGTAGCCTGCCGGTTCCTCTGTCCACGAGGACTCTCCAGGCAAGAACACCGGAGTGGGTTTGCCATGCCCTCCTCCAGGGGATCTTCCCGACCCAGGGATCAGACCCAAGTCTCTGATGTCTCCTGCACTGGCAGGCGGGTTCTTTACCACTAGCTCCACCTAGGAAGCCACAGAAAGTGTTCAGTAATTGCTAACTGTTCCTACCATGATGGAAGGTGGCACACTCAGAGAGAGGGGGACTCCCTGCCCAACCCGGGGGTGGGGGGTGGGAGAGGGGTCAGGGGTGCTTTCTCAGAGAGGTGAGACTTGGAGGAGGAGTTAGCCTGTGTAAGTGGCCATGGGGACAGGAGAGTGGGAACAGCTTGGAGCAAATGCTCAATAAATATTTGTTCAATTAAAAAAAGAAAAAAAAGACTGCAAGGCCTGCCTGTAACCAGGGGGACAGAGAAAGCCTTCCAGGGCAGACTGGGGGGTCCTCGGAAGGCCAGATCTGGGTGGCAGGCTCCACTGGCAGGCTCTAGACCTTTCTGGACTGCAGGGTCTTCCTTGGCCTGGTCTGGCCCCACCCCGTGCCCCTGAAGGGAGCTGGACTCCCCCAGACTTGAATCCTGAAGCCCACAGGAGGGGGAACCGTGGGGCGGGCTGGCAGGGCGGGGGTCCCCCGGGCCGTCTCCCCCTAATGAGAATGGGCCGAGTCCCCGCGAGGCGCCTCCCCGTGCCCGCGTTGTCCGAGCCACAAAGGGCCAGGATCAATGGAAGGCGGGAGCGGCCGAGGGGCCTCCTCTTTGTGCGGCTGTCTCAGGCCTGTTTGCGCCGCCGTCTCCGCGCCCCCATTGATCAGGCATGTGGAAAGATTCCGCCTCCCGGGCTCCCTTTGTGGCTGCGTTGCCAGGCTGCGCCCGGCGTGACTGCCCCGCGCGGGCTCTCCCGCCTGCGGTGGGCACCGGACTGCGAGAGCGGGTGGGGTCCTGAGAGGGTCCGGTTGCCAGATTTTAGCAAATAAAAATACAGGACGCCCAATTAAATGTGTTTCTGGTAACACATAAAAAGCAAAGCAAAAAGAAATTAGTGTTAAGTATGTCCCAACTATTGCATGGGACACACTTATACTTTAAAAGTATTTGTGTGTTTGTTTTTTTTTATCTGAAATTCAAATGTAACCAGGCTTCCTGTATGTTCATCTGGCACTCTGGGAGAAGAGGAAGCCGAATACAATTTAGGCTTATACTTCTCCTAACTTTAGTCGTTGGAGTTGTTTTTTGTTTGCTTTGTTTTGCTTTTTTGTGTTTTTTATTTTTTTCTTTTCTTTTGGTTTGGTTTTGGACATATCTGCATGTGCCCTGAACAACTACTATTTATTCACTATTTTTCTTTAAATGAACTCATTGTTTTTTAACTTAAATTATTAACAGTGGTTTACTGGTGAACACATTACACACATCAATTTGAATAAACATCCAATGTACCTCCAGATGCGTTTTTACCTATGCAGACACCCATGCGATCACACCCGATCAAGATACACTGTATTTCCATCACCCCAGAAGGTTCCCTTGGATCACCTCCCTGTTGAGACCCTCCCCAGTCGGCAGCGACTAGTCTGACTTCCGTATGTTCTTGAACTTCATATACGTGGAATCGTATAGTACGTACTCTCTTGAGTCTGGCTTCTTTCATCCAATATTCTGTCTGTGAGATTTGTCCACACTGCGGCTTGGATCAGTAAGTTTATTCCATTGTATAGCTGTACCATGGTTTTCTCATCCATTCTCTCCTTGATGGATGTCTCAGCTGTTCCTGGTTTTTTGCTACTATGAATAACACTGCTATGATCAGACTTGTGTTAGTCTTTGTACGGACTTAAACACGTTTAACCTAAGCAAGATTACTTGTGAATTCACAGGCTTGATGTGCCAGTTTTATAAATATATAACTATTCTACATATTTATGTGAGCATCTTATATTTTAAAAGTATTTGTTTTTTTTTGTACCAACCAAGCTCACCTTTTGCAGGGTCGACGGCTACCTGCCAAACTGCAGAATAGACGTTAAGAGAATAGGCTGGCTCGGGGTGGATCATGGGTAAGTGAATTAGCTCCTTTGAGCCTCGGTTTCTTCATCTGTAAAATGGAGGTGATAATGAAAATTGCCTCTCAGGATGGTTGAAAGGCAAAATGGGATAATGCCATAAAAAAGGACTCAGGACAGGCTGCTATACTGTCAAGCATGGGATTGACAGTAGCGACTGATGAGTTGGGTCTGTTAGATGCCAGCTCTCATTCCATCAGCATTTCAATATTTTGTAATGGGTACCATTATTATCAATCTATTTTACTGATGAGGAAACAGGCTTTGGGAGGCAGTCACTTGCTCATGATAGCGTAGTTAGTAAGTGGCCAAGCCCCAGTTACAGAAGGTGGGACAGGAAGGACCCAGGAAGGACGAGGCTCTACGGAGGATCTGGGTACCTTTTCCTCCTGCCTCTGCATCCTCCACCAGCACCCACTCCAAAGGCAGGCAGGGGACAGTGGGACCCGTTTCTCTCTGGAGAGTGGAAGGAGCAGGGCCGGACATTTCCAGGAGAGGCCAAGCACCGCAGCGACCAGGCAGGTTGGAGGACAGACAGGGCGGGTCCGACGGGGGAGGCAGAGGAAGCAGGAAGCAGGAGGCAAAGGCCGGCTCCTTGCGGCGCTGCAGCCACAGCCGCTGGGCATCGCTACCTGCCATCTGAAGGACAAGGGGAACTGCTGATCTCAGGCGATTAGCATAACAATCCCCGATCCCGCGTCCTCGGGGCCCAAAGCTGGGTCTGCACAATCCCATTTCGAGCCAGCTCTTTCTTTAGCAGGCTAATTATGGGGGGGGGGGGGCGGGTGCAGAGAGGGAGGGGAACAGGATCTTCTTAAAGGGCCCCTGCACCCAGGGCCCACATTGGGGCTGGGAGCGGGGAAAGGACCCCAACAGTACCTTCAGCTCTAGCAAAGTGTGGGTGCCATCACTCCAGGCCATAGGGGAAATGTTCACCCTCACTAGGGATTTCAAAGTGCTTCTTGTTTCAATCTTCCTTGGCTCCATTAGTGCACAACTGGAGGGTATGAACTGTTCACAGCTGTATCCTGGGGCAAGGCAGAATAGGTGCTCTGATAAGTAGCTGAAGCACAGAGCCCATGGCTTCAGAACGTGGACTCGATCTACCTGTATATAATGAGGCCTCCAGATGTTGCTGATGGAGGACACTGAAGCAGCCTCATCTTTGCAGGTCCGTCAGGGTCTTCTTCCTTCTGCCCATCCCCATCCTCAGCATCCTGAATCTCTCCTTGTCCTTCCAGCCTCCTGACACTGGAAGGCAGAGACAGACTTTGGGTGAGAATGGGTGGAGCACAGGGATAGAGCAGGGTTCCAGTCCTAACTCTGCAATTTATCACCTGTGTGATCTCAGATAAGTCTCCTAACTGCTCTGAGACTCGGGTTTTCTCAGCTGTAAAATGGGGACAATCAAAACCTGTTTCAGGGGGCTTCCCTGGTGGCTCAGTGGTAAAGAATCTTGCCTGCCAATGCAGGAGTGACTGGTACAGTCCCTGACCCAGGAAGATCCCATATGCCATGGAGCAACTGAGCCCAAGCCCATGAGCCACAACTGCTGAGCCCACCTGCTGCAACTACAGAAGCCCACGAGCCCACGAGCCCACGCTCCGCAACAAGAGAAGCCACCACAATGAGAAGTCCCTGCCCACAACTAGGTAGCCCCGCTCTCTGCAACTGGAGAAAAGCCCATACATAGCAAAGAGGACCAAGCACAGCCACAGATAAATAAAAAATAAATTTAGAACAAAACAAAACTGTTTCAGTGGAATTCCCTATTGGTCCAGTGGTTAGGACTCTGTGCTTTCACTGCCAGGAACTCGGGTTCAGTTCCTGGTTGGAAAACTAAGATCCCACAAGCTGCAAGGTGCAGCCAGAAAAATATATATTTCAAATATTATTTATAAGCATTCACTAAAATGCCATATGGGAGTGCCTGTCACATGGCTGGGGACAGGCGAATAGGAATCCTCTCTTCGCCTTCCATAGAAACATGTACTGTATCATTGCCAACATGGCTATGGTTTATCAAGAAAGCGAAAGTGAAAGTCGCTCAGTCGTGTCCGACTCTTTGCGACCCATGGACAGTCCATGGAATTCTCCAGGCCAGAATACTGGAATGGGTGGAATTTCCCTTCTCCAGTGGATCTTCCTGACCCAGGAATCAAATTGGGGTCTCCTGCATTGCAGGTGGATTCTTTACCAGCTGAGCCACAAGAGAAAACCCAAGAATACTGGATTGGGTAGCCTGTTCCTTCTCCAGTGGATCTTCCTGACCCAGGAATCAAACTGGGTTCTCCTGTATTGCAGGCAGATTCTTTACCAACTGAGCTATCAGGGAAGCCCTGTGGTTTATCAGGTGCCCTTTATAAGTCAATCTTTGCTCAGCGCTTAGATTTTCTCTTCAACTCTCAAAATACACCCTGCAAAGTGGGTTTTGTACTGTTTGAAGAAGAGGAAAACAAAGGCAGAGAGTGACTTGCCCAAGGCCACCCAGCTACAAAGTTGCGAAGGGAGGCAGGAGGCCAGCTGACCCCTAAAACCGATGGCTCTGGGGTCCGGGAAGTGACAGCAGACAGTGCCCCTTCTCCACTTGACAGCCAGCCAGCTTCAGGTGTCTTGATCATCCGTTGTGTGTTAAGCTCTGTGCTGAGTGCCAAGGGGGACAGAGATGGGCACAAGACGGACGAAGCCTGTCATTCTGCCCTCCTGGAGCTGGAATATGACAATAAGCAAGTAATTTCTGTGAGTGATAAGGGCTTTGAAGACTAGATTCGCGGCGGTGGTGGTGGTGGGGGTGTGCGTCTGGGAAGCTGTCTCTTGATGAAGTGATACTTGAACTTCAGGATAGCTGTGGGAAGATTGGAGAGGGAGGCAGGTTGTGGGGAGAGCAAGTGCAAATATCCTGGGGCAGGGTGGGGCAGTCCTGGGCCTGCAGCACTGGGAGAGAGGATGGAGGGGGGTGTCATGGGCAGAGGTTGGGGAGGGAGGAAGGATGTAACCAGGTAGGGCTTGTGGAACTTGGTAAGAAGCGTGCTTTTCTTTCCTTTCCTCCTTTCCTCCTCTCTCACTTCCTTCCTCCTTCCCGCCCTCTTTTCCTCCATCTCTCCTTCACTTCCTCCCTCCCTCCCTTCATTCCTTCCTTCCTTTTCTTCCCCTCGTGCCTATTTTCCCAGGCACTGGGCCAGGGGCTGGGGCCCTGTGAGTTTCTTCAGCCTTCTTCCTTTCTGCCCATCTCCCCTCCTGTCCCCTCCCCGTCCTCTTCTGAACTGCTGCCCCGCCCCCACTGGTCCAGCTCTTCCCCCCCCCCCCCCCCCGGCCAACCCCTCCCTTCCCCCTGACAATGAGAATGCGCCCAGAGCCCAGCTCTCCCTGGCCTTGTCCCTTTAAGGAATCCCTAAATCCGGACACCCCTCTCCTCCCCCACCTGAGAACCAATTAGGGTTCCCGAATTCAAGTAGAGGCTTTTGTGTGTCACGTGTTTGGGGAACAAAGCCCTCTCCGGCAGGAATAAAAGCTTCTATTCAGGAGCCAGTTTGTTCTCGTTCTAATCGTCTCCACTTCAGCCTCGCCTCCTTCCCGGGTTCCCAGGGCCGCCCCTCCGGGCCTCACCTTCCCGCCTCAGCACCCCGTATTAGAGCCCTACCCAAAGGCAGGTGGCCACAGACCCAGGGCTCAACCCACCTTCTCTTCCTGAAAGCTCCTGTGACGCCAGCCTCTGAGCTGGGCTCAGGACTTGTGCATCCTCCCCGAGAGCTGTGACCATCCTCGGCGCGATCGAGGAAACTGAGGCTCGGAAGGGTCAGGGGACTTGCCTGAGGTCACCCAGCTGGTAAGAGGAGGAGTCTAGACTCTAGAGCCCCGAGCATTAGACTTCAGTGCCCTCGGCTGGCCCTAGAGTAGGGCAGGGTGAGGGAGAAGGGAGCTGTCATTTTCACAAAGCCCACGGGGCCAGGCACCTGCTGGGTGTTAGAGACTCCTCACAATGCCTGCGAAGAAGCAGCAACCGAGGTCAAAGTCACGGGTAAGCTGCGGGACTCGGAGGATGGAGAGGCAGGAGACTCGGAGGATGGAGAGGCAGGAGAGTACTTTCATATAATGGAACCACTAAGAAGGATGTATTCAAATGGAACGATCACTGATACATTGCCAAGAGAAAAAAGGCAACACTGAGCATAACATAATCCCATTTGTGTAAGAGAAGAAGGAAATATGGACAGACACAGAGACACACATATACACCTACTGCACAGTGCTATATGGGCAGAGAACATTTAAGACAAATACATAATCAATTGTATCCGTGTTTATTCCCCACTTTGGGGCTTCCCTGGTGGCTCAGATGGTAAAAATCTGCCTGCAAAGTAGGAGACCTGGGTTGATCCCTGGGTCAGGGAGATCCCCTGGAGGCGGGCTTGGCAGCCCACTCCAGTATTCTTGCCTGGAGAATCCCATGGACAGAGAAACCTGGAGGGCTATCGTCCATGGGGCCGCAAAGAGTCGGACACAACTGAGCGACTAACACTTTTCTTTATTCCCTTTGGGGAGAGGAGATGGAGAGTGGGAAGAGACCCTCAGGACCGTTCTGTCCTGTTGGAAAAATTATTTTCTTACCACGATCATGTATTTCTTTTATAACATTTAATTTTGTTTTTTGAGGTTAACTTAACCATCTAAAGTGTAGAATTCTACTGCCTTTGGTACATTCACAGTGTTGCGTGACCATCACTTCTATCTGGTTCCTAAGTATTTTCATCCCTCCAAAGACAAACCCTGCACCTGTTAAGCAGTTATTTCCATTCTGCCCTCCCTTGGCTGCGAGCAACTACGAACCTCCTTTCTGTCTCTATGGATTTGCCTTCTCTGAATATTTCATAGAAATGGAATAATAAAATATGTGGCCTCTTGTGGTCTGGCTTCTTTCACTTCGCATCAGGGTTTTGAAATTCATCATGTTGTAGCAGGTATCAGGGCGTCATTCCTTTTCATGGTTGAATTGTATTCCCTGGTATGGATACACCACTATTTGTTTACCCATTCATTCCTTGATGAACAGTTGGGTTGTTTCCATCTTTTGGCATTTGTGACTAGTGCTTCTATAGCCTGTCTTCAAGTTTCATTTGAATACTTGTTTTCAATTCTTTTGAGTATATACCTAGGAGCTGGGTCATATGGTAATTCTATACTTTTTGAAGAAATGCCAAAGTGTTTTTCACAACATTGCACTATTTAATATACTTGTCACAGTGCATGAGAGATTACGATTTCTCTGAATTCTTATAATACTTGCAATTTCCTTCTTAAGTTTTTTTTTTTTTTTTACTGTAGCGATTCTAGTAGGTGTGAAGTGACATCTCATTGTGGCTTTCACTTGCATTTGTGTTTGTGATGGTTTATGACGTTGATCATCTTTTCATGTGCCTATTGGCCATTAGTGTATCTTCTCTACAGAAATATCTATTCTAGTTTTTTGTGCATTTTTAATTGGGTTGTTTATCCTTTTATTATTGAGTTGTTAAGAGTCCTGCAGGCTTTCCTGGGGGCTCAGTGGTAAAGAATCTGCCTGCCAGTGCAGGAGACTCAGATTCCATCTCTGTGTCGGGAAGATCCCCTGGAGAAGGAAATGTCAATCCACTCCAGTATTCTTGCCTGGGAAATCCCATGGACAGATAAGCCTGGCGTACAGTCCATGGTATTGCAAAGAGTTGGACACAACTGAGCAACTAAACAACGACAGAGTTCTTATGGTATATTCTAGAGACTGTGCTGCGTGCTAAGTCACTTCGGTCCTGTCTGACTCTTTGCAAACCCATAGACTGTAGCCCACCAGGCTCCTCTGTCCATGGCATTCTCCAGGCAAGAAGTGAAATGGCAAAGTAAGTTGCCATTTCCTTCTCCAGGGATCTTCCTGACCCAGGGATTGAACCTGAATCTCTTGAAGCTCCCATACCGCAGGCAGATTCTTTACTGCTAAGCTTCCAGGGAAGCCCCTTCTGGAGACTAGACCCTTATATATAATTTGCAAGTATTTTCTCCCATATTGTCAGTTGTCTTTTCATCTTGATAGTGTCCTTTGCGGTACAAAAATTTTCATGAAGTCTATCCATTTCTTCTTTTATGTTTGTGCTTTTGGTGACATAATTGAGAATCCATTGCCAAATCCACGGTCATGAAGATTCACTCCTGTGTTTCCTTCTGAGAGTTTTATAGTGTTAGGTCTTTGATCTATTATGAGTAAGTTTTTAAATGTAGTGTGAGGTAGGGACCTACCTAACTTCATTCTTTTCCTTGTAGAGATTCTATCATAATTGTTTTCAATCCTTGCCCTTGCTATCTTAACCAGTGATCTCCAAATTTTTATGATCAGACATCCCTAGAGGAAATCATCTTTGAGCCCATATCTCTGGTATATGTAGATGTACTTATTTTATTTTTTGGCCACGCCTAGACACTTGCAGGATCTTAGCTCCTCAACTAGGGATCGAACCCTTGGCCCCTCCAGTCTTAACCACTGGACCACCAAGTAAGTTCCTGTAGATGTACTTACTTATAAAGTATATAGAAAAAAAAAGAAAAAGAAAAAATAAATAAAGTATACAGGTGTACAATTATAATATCTGTGTTATAAAATGTGTACAAAGGATCACTTTAAAAGATGAAATAGGGAATTCCCTGGCCTCCCAGTGGTTAGGACTCTGCAGTTTCACTGCCAAGGGCCCAGGGGTTTAATGCCTATTCAGGGAACTAAGATCCCACAAGCCTCTCAGTGCTGCCAAAAAAAAAAAAAAGATGAATAGGACAAAATGTAGAAGGCCTGGTGTTTTCTTGGTGGATCACATCTTGAGAGTTCCCAGGGCTTCGTCCCTCTCTGGAGCCTGCTGGTCTTGAGGACAGAGCAAAGTCAGCTGTCTTTCCCAAGGGACGGCTGGGGCTGCTGGTGGGATGGTGGGAGAGTGAGCACTCCAGGTTGGATCTGATGCCCCTCTTCTGGGTTACAAAGTCTGGTGTCAGAGGGGCAGGTGTTTGAACCCTTGCTCTATCTCCTAGTTGTGTAAACTCAGGCAAATAGCTTTGCTTTCCGAGCCTCAAAGAACATGAGTGTGTGAGTGAGTGAAAGTCGCTCAGTCATGCCTGACTCTTTGCGACGCCATGGACTATACAGTTCATGGAATTCTCCAGGCCAGAATACTGGAGTCCGTAGCCTTTCCCTTCTCCAGGGGATCTTCCCAACCCAGGGATCGAACCCAGGTCTCCTGCATTGCGTCCTCACTTACTTCATGGCTTACTTCCCAGACGGCTCACGTGGTAAAGAACCCACCTGCCAAGGCAGGAGAGATGGGTTCCATCCCTGGATCGGGAAGATCCCCTGGAGGAGGAAATGGCAAGCCACTCCAGTATTCTTGCCTTTAAAATCCCATGGACAGAGGAGCCTGGCGGGCTACACGCCAGGGTTTGCAGAGTTGGACACGACTTAGCGACTGAACACACACACTACTTACTTCACTGGGTGGTTTGTGATACAAATGAGTACAGGGCCTGGCACCTGATAATGTCTCAGTAAACCTTAATGGGACTTCCCTGGTGGTCCCAGGGCAAAGACTCCATGCTCCCAAGGCAGTGGGCCTGGGTTCAATCCCTGTCAAGGGACTAGATCCCACATGCTGCAGCTAAGACTTGGCACAGCCAAATAATGAAAAAAAAAAAAACAAAAAACAATGATCATTATTTCTATACTTAAGGAGTCAAGTCCTGACAGACCTTCTGATCCTCTTCTTCTAGCAAAAGAATTCAAGGCAGGTACCCCTGGTTGGAAGAACAGAAGGAAGGGATGGGGAAGGGAAGGGGGGAGAGGCCATCCTGGAATGGGCCAGCTCACACTCTGAGGAGCAGTGTGGTGTGATGGGTGAGACATAGGTGTCTTGAGCAGAAAGGCCTGGGTGGCCTGTTCTTCCTCTTACCAGCCACGTGACCTTGGCCAGATGGTGACACTTCTCTGAACCTCAGCATCCTCATCAGTCCAAGGGAGATAATAATAATTGCACTTGCACCGTAGCGTTATCTAATGAGCAAATGAAACAGCATGTGAAAGTGCTTGCCCTGCCAGAAGAGCTTGAAACACAGCAGTGATTATTATTTCTACTTGACACCTAAAGAGGATACTGTATCTACCACCCTATTTACCCATTTGTTCATTTTATCGAGATTTATACAGTGCCGACTACGTGCCAGCCATATGATGGGGAACAGGAAAAGACAGTCCTTGCTTTCAAGAAGCTTACAACCTAGGGGTACACAGGCGTTAACCAAGCAAGAGGTTCATGTGAATCTTCATGTGAGAGATGCTATGAAGGAGTGGGGAAAAGGCAAAGGAATAAAAGATCAGAGAAGTGATGCGGGGAAGTCCCGTGGGGAAGTGACATTTATTTGGAAACTCGAAAGATGGAAAGAAAGGAAGCAGGCACAGGAGGAAGGGATGTTCCCTGCTGGAGGCAGTGTGGTCAGACTGGGGAAGGGTGTCCAGGCTCAGGCAAAGGTGCTGCAGGTTGAGTAAAGGGGGCTGCAGGCTGAGAGAAGAGGGCGAAGGGCAGGCATTCCAGGAAACAGATGCTCCTGACTGCAAGACGGTGGTTCCAAGGTCCTCCGTGGAGAAAGAGTTTGGTGATTCCAGGTTCTGAAAGGTCAGTTGATCAGAGAAAAGAGAGGAGATAGGATGTGGGGGAGATGAAGCTGGAGAGGGAGACAGATGCCAGTTTATCTAGAGTTTTC